TTAAGTTACCCAAGATCAATGATAAGGAGAGAATCTTAAAGCAGCTAGAGATAAGGAGACAGTTATTTACAAAGGAGTTCCCATAAGACTTTCAGCTGATTTCTCAAAAGAAACTTTACAGGCTAGAAGGGGCTGGTAAGAAGTATTCAAAGTCATGAAAGGCAAGAACCTACATCCAAGATGACTCTATCCAGCAAAGTTATCATTTAGAATGGAAGGGCAGATAAAGTGCTTCTCAGATAAGTTAGAGTTAAAGGAGTTCATCATCACCAAGCTCTTATTATATGAAATGTTAAAGGGATTTATCTAAGAAAAAAAAGATGAAAACTATGAATAGTAAAATGACAACAAACTCACAAATATCACCAACTGAACCTAAAAACAAAAACAAACTAAGCAAATGACTAGAACAGAAACAGAATCACAGAAATAGAGATCACATGGAGGTTTATCAGCAGGGAGGGGGAGGGTGGAGAATGGGGGACAAGGTACAGGGAATAAGAAGCATAAATGGTAGATACAAGATACAAGGGGGAAATTGAGAACAGTGTAGGAAATGGAGAAACAAAAAAACTCACATGTACGACCCAGGGACATGAACTAAGAGGGAGGAATGCTGGTGGGACGGGTGTGCAGCGTGAAGGGGAATACAGGAGAGAAAAAAATGGGACTACTGTGAGAGCATAACCAATAAAATATACTTTTAAAAAAAGAATGATTCACTGTCAATTTCCTATAAGCAAAATTAAAAGGCTTTACTAAGAGGCGTTTTTGTTTTTTTTTAATCCTCATCTGACAATGTTTACTTATTTTTTAGAGAGAAAGAGGAAGGGAGAAAGAAAAAGAGAAACATTGATGTTAGAGAGAAACATCGATTGGTTGCCTCCCTTATGTGCCCTGACCAGGGATAGAATCCACTACGTAGATGTGTGCGCCCTGACCGGGATCTGAACCCACAACCTTTTGGTGTATGGGACAACGCTCCAACTAATTAAGCCATTTGGCCAGGGCAGTAAGATATTTCAAATAACTCATTATTATGCCTTTTCACTTATGGGCACTTTATTTTACTTGATATGCAAGATAAAGTTGGGAAAAATGAAATATTTTTAATTTCATTAGTTCTGTCAGTACGACTTTTCAATTAAAATGTCTTTATCTTTATAAGTACTTCAATCAGAACTCTAGAGCTGCAAATTTAGTTTATTCAATTAATGAAAAATATTCATTATAAAACTTAATTGGTAAGGCCAATCCTCATTGTCAAACGCATGAGCCTAATAAGATAATGTTCGGAAAAAGTCTGATTTTATTTTTCAATTCAATAAGAAAGTTAATACTCGCCCTCACTTAGAATTCTAAGAGAGATAAATCTAAGAGCTTTGCCATGAGCTCTTCAGCAGGATAAAGTTAAGACATTAAGTTTTTATCAATATCTACATTGTCCTTGCTTTCACCAGATTTTCTCTCCAGGGGCACGATGAAATAAAGTCTTAGACAAAGTGGTTATCACCCCTGCTGTTCCACTCTGCAATGCATATTAACTTAGAATATCCCAACATGGAATTTCTAACTCATCACTTCACCTGGAGCAGAAAAATGTATGACCCCTGGAAAAGACATGAGGCTGTACACTGAGTTTATAATTCCTTTATTGAAAAGCTTCACTGACATCATTACTTTGACTTTTTTTCTTTGGTGCCATGGAGGCTTTTCTCAAGGTAAGAGATCACAGTAAGATTTGGAATGAAAACCGTGTCTTTTTTTTTTAAAGATACATACGAGCATTTGTAGAAGGAGAGATAGGAAATAAAAGACCAGTGTGACACTAGGACCTCAGGGGTGTGCTCATGCAAATTAATCCTTAAACCTATGAAGGCTAAAGATTCAGGGAACTGAGTTCCTTAAATATACCCATGCTCTTGTGTCCCTTGAAAATCTTTATGCACCTTCAGGGCATGTGTACTTACTTTGAAGACTTTACTTAGAGAGTGTATTTCAATAGCCCATGGAGGCTGCATAATTAATCAAACATGGATCTCAAGTTAACTTCTTCTGTAGGCAGAGGTAAGAGACCCACTGGAGGACTCCAAGGCTCCAGTAGATGGAGGCCCAACTATAGGGAAGAACCTGGACCTATGAATGACTGAGTAGAGCCAAGTCCTCCTACAAGCCTATGTCAGTGTAGATGAGAAATAAACCTTTGTTTTGTTAAACTATCAAGATTTTGGGATTGTTTGTTATAGCATTTAGCCTCCTCTGACTAACAGAGTAGCAGGTGGTGCTGGACAGAGTCTTATTATTGCAAGGGTGAGGGGGCTTGTAGCCAAGAACTGCAGTGTCCATGTATGGAATTGAATGGGAGTCATAGACAATTCTCTGGGGATTAGGTGGTGCCAAAGGTTGTTAGGATGGGGCCAAATCAAAGAGAACTGACTATAGGTTGCACCAACCACATACTTCATAGCAGGTGCCTGCAGAATTCTCAGGAGTGGGACTAGGCAACTACCTTCAGTGGATACCAGGTAATACATATACACAGTCAGCTATCACCTTCTTTTCCCAGTACCACAAGGATACAGGACACAAAGCGTTCTCATAAATCCAACCGTCATCCTGAGAAGAGAAAGAAAACTCCAAAAGACAGAACATTTATCTAATGGGGCCATCTAATCCACGCTTGATAGGGAGTGGACCTTCAATAGAAGAAACATTTAACTGCAAGAAAACTGTTGGAATTGGAAGACCCACAGGATTTAAAGAGAAAATCCAAGATTTTCCATTACCCAGAGTAATAGAAAATAATTGATTTTTTCAGAGGGGTCACAATAATTATGCATGAATGAGTTTGTGAACCTGTTACTTTTTTCTTTTCATGCTGTAGCTATGAAATCAAGGTCAGATTAAAAATAGATATGAAAAACAGTTTTTAAAAGTTTGTACATGTATGAATAAAAGAGAATATTTCAGTACTTTCTATTTTTGAAATTCCAGTAATGTGAAGGACTGCATGATCTCTCCTTGGGGACAGAGTCTCTGAAGACGTGGTTCAATACTTAATATCAAAGTACAGGGCACTCGCAAGCGGTACTGCTTCTTTCTGCAAAACCACTTCATGAATGACATACTTTGTCAAATTGTTATGTGTAAAAATTCCACTTCAATATACCTTGACTGGAAGGATAATTGATTGGCAGGATTTTTTTTTTTTAACCAAGTCCACTAAAAAGAACAGAACTTTAATTTCAATTTCACTCAACAGATTATTAAATTGAGCTTTGATACCATCTGGTTAGTTCAAGCCAATCATTCTTTTGAGTCATAAATGTACAATTGTCATGTAACATAATATCTTTTAAAAAATAAAGTCCCAAAACTCAACAAAAATGATGGAAGTTGATTGTTCCAGTGTGTAAACCACACTCACAGCAGTAGCAAAGAGCTGCTTTTGGAAGCTGTAGTAAATGTTTCAGGCCACGGGTACTTCATTCTGAGGGTGTGCCCTTCAAATGGAATTTTTAACGATGATGCTTTTCCACTTGGGAATTCATTCATACCTTCTCTCGGAGCTCCACCTTGTGACTAGTGGCCACCTGTTTTGAGGCAGCTGGTTGTAATAATTAAAATACACACTCTAGGGAGGCCCTGAGATCCCTCCAGTTTTTCCTCTTTCACAGGAACTTATTTAATTTTCATAACCGCCTGATATTTTCTACTCATGCATTGCTTTACTGGTTTGCTGTCAGCTTTTCTTCATTAGAAAAGAAGTGCCATGAAAACAGGGAGCTCTTGGACTTGCTCCCCCATTACCTCCAGTCTCTAGAACGGCACTTGGTTCTTAATAGGAAGTCAAGAAACATTTGCATGAAGAGTAAACCTTTAAATATTGATGATGAAGCCATTTTTCTTTATAAGAAATTAATGAAGGAAGATAAAATTTGTGATTTTAAATTTATGGACAGTATCATGCTTTTAATAGTTATTTACCGACTGCACTTACTAGTCCAACACAAATAGAGATGGCTCCCCAGAACCATAGTTTGCTAAATAGAACACTGTAAATAAACTCATTTATACAGCAAAGGTATGTAGGTCACTACCAGAGAGTAATTTATTGAGTACTTTTCAACATATTTTTGAGTCTGCTTCTAATGGGACTGTATTTCAGATCTTCAATTTTTCCCCTGTAAATTCAAATTATTTTTGTTTGGTTGTTATGAGTGTTATGTATTACTTTATACCTTTAGTTCTTAATAAAACCCATGAGTTTTATTAAAAGAGCTCAGTAAATTTTTAAAGCTTATCTATAAGATATTTTAAATTATCAAACTTAGTCATCAGTTAATAATTGAAGGTTTTGGGCCACGTTGTGTAGTTGTTTATAAAAGCATGCCGCTAACCAAGATTTACTATTTGAAAAAAAGTAAATTTTCTTCTCCTTTAGTTTGAGAAGTCAGAAATAATAAAAATGAATGTCACCTTGGATATTAGTTTAGAGCCCAGAACCTGTGACTTTTAAGCATAGAAATCAGTATTTTTCAAAAACCGACTGAATTAAAAAAGATTGCTTTTAAAAACAAGAAACTTCTCAGAAGCTTTTTCCTTTTCCTATCTTTTATAAGCATAGGGCTTTGAATTTTGTTTTACTTCTCTCTCTTCTAATGGAATGAGTGAATAAATGTCTGAATAGCTTCGTTTTAAAATTCCCAAAACATCTTGCAAAAACTACTACTCACATTGGTTTGAGAGTTTTCAATAGGGAGTTTCTTTTAATAGTTCTTGTTTTCTGAATAAATTGTGTAATTCCCCCTTTTAAGAATAGAGCGCCAGTGGGGAAATGAGTAAATCAACACCCATTTGATTTGGTTACAGTTCAAAACTGGTGATCACTTTAAGAATAATTAAAATAATGACACAGTTTACACTAAAATGGCACCTGGTCCACAAGGGAAAATACAGAGGCAGCTTCCCTTGAAGTCTTCCTTCCTTGCCCTTGTGTCTCTGGCATTCTCTGACTTTGTTACTATTGATCATTCTTCTCAAGATCAGAAATGAGAATGTTTTCTTCCAAATGTACTGTGCTGAAGTTGGTCGTTGGGTAGTAAGGGTTCTGAAACTCTGCGAGCCTCCTGAAGACACCACTGTGGTGCTTGTATATGCAAAAGGAAAGTGTGGAAATGGCCAGAATTGCCACCAGCGCCAGTGTTACTGTAAGTGGTACAACACTGTGACTTGGTCCTAACAGAAGAGGAAAAAAAGGAAAACTTCAATGACAATGAAGTACTATAGACACTGTCACATAGTTACTTTCTATTTTATTATTTCTAAGAAAAATCAAAATGTTCTCCACTGTTCCAAACATACCTTTCCCTAGATGTTCCTTTACCAGGTGAATACCTAAAAGTACAAAAAAAAAAAAAATGAGATGAAGTTTTTCTTTTAATTCAGCAAAATTATGTCATTATTTAGAGCAGGGCCCAGCAAACTATGGCCCATGGGTTAAATTTAGGTTTCTGTTTTTATAAATAATGTTTTACTGGAACTCGGCCACACTCTTCTGTTTATGCATTGTGTATGGCTGCCTTCATGCTACAATGGCAACGTGACAGAGACCATATTGCCCCGGGAGCCTCAAATATTTATATCTGGCCCCTTACAGGGAAAGTTCGTTGACCCTCGATTCACTATAATCATTACTACGGCTCCCAAACACATACACTGCCTTATTTTTTTAAGCTAAAGAATTCCCACCTAGTCTCAGTACTGTGCTGCAGCAGAAATGTGAGTAAAGCATAGTCCCTGTCTGCAGGAAACTCAATTTTGTTGGGATCTTCTGCGGAGTTTGTCCAGCAACGATAACCTCCCTGCCTTCATGCAAAGATCAACATCTTGTCATATTTGTGCTTTCAAGAATCTTGAGAAATGAAAAATAGCTCCTCCATCCAAAAAGTTAAAGATTTTCTCCATAAAAATGTGTCTCTTTTGAGTAGACTATCTCAAAATTTGAACTCTGTTATTTTTGAGATCTAGATAAAGATGGAGAGTGATCCAGAAAAAGATTAGTAAAAGATTTGTGATTGGAGGGAGTGCTTTGGCACACTACCTATGCCCATTCACTCTTACAGAGTTAAAAGAAACATCACCATTGTTACCAACAGCAAAATCATGTTTAAAAAGACCTTGTTTTTGCAATTTAAAAATAATATTGTATAATTTTGCATAATACAATGGAAACGTATTAGTGTATGTGTGTGTGTATGTGTGTGTGAGAGAGAGAGGGAGAGAGAGAGAGAGAGAATGTGAAGACATTTTAAGAAAGAGTGTTAAAAGAAAGATTATTTGCCCTCACTGGTGTGGCTCAGTGGACTGAGTGCCAGCCTGCGAACCAGAGGGTCACCAGTTTGATTCCCGGTCTAGGGCATGTGCCTGGGTTGCAAGCCAGGTCCCCAGTAGGGGGCACATGAGGCAACCACACATTGGTGTTTCTCTCCCTCTCTTTCTCCCTTCCTCTCTCTAAAAATAAATAAATAAAATCTTAAAATAGAAGAGTATTCTCAGAATGGAAGAGCAGTGAGAAGGTATAGAAGTAGGAAGCTTTAAAGTCTTGTACAGATATGAGGGGTTTCTGATTTGTTCTTGATATTTAAATGCTGTGGATCACTTGGGTGTGTTATTTATCACACAGCTGATAATCTCACTATTTGGGTTTCAAACATTCGTACCCACACCTACCAGTTTTTTCCTTCTTCATTCCCAGTATGCAATCAGTCTCCAAAGCCTGATGGTTCTCTGCTTTTCTACTGTCTCTTTTTGTTCCTAGTTCCATTGCTCAAATAACAAGTGCCTCTCTTTACATCTGGGCGGATGTGACTCTACTGCAGATGTCTGTGGAGCACACAGTAGGTTCCTGTCTCCTTCACACAAAGATCAGCCCTTCCTGGATCCTACATTACTGTTCAATTTTATTCCTGTCACTACCTAACATGAGCCCTTCGCTCCAATCTAAGTTCATTTTTAATTGCTGCCTTTAGTTACTGTCCAATGCCTGCCTTTCCTCCGTCCTCTCGTTTTGCGATTCCAAGGCTACATCTCTGTGAAGTCTTCTCCAGCTGTCTTTATTAACACCGGCACCTAGAAACTGTTGTGATTATTATAAACACCTTTCCACTGTTAATGTTCCTTATTAATGCCCTATCTCAGAAATTTCTGCTATTGTTTGCAACAGACTAGAATTTTCTGGCCTAGATTTCTAAAAAAAATTTTTTTTAATCACTAAAAACTAAGTATGTAGCTTAAGATAAAATTAAAATGTCTTTTACAATATATTAGAACTCGTGACAGTGATACTTACCCACAAGGACAACTAAAGCCTAGGTTATATTTCTTGGGCCCAAAGATGAACCTTAAAATTCTGAGTAGCAGTTGTCAGAATGAGGGCTGTTGGTTTACATTTCTAGCTCTATTTGCTTGAGGTAAACTGCTTTTTTACTTATGAAGGTAACAGCTAGGGTGATACAAGAAAATCATAGCTTTTGAGTTGAAATTTTCTATGACTTGTCTGATATAGAATAAGATGACAGTATTAGAAACTATCTGAATACTCCCTGAATTCTTGGATTTTAAAAGCTTTAAATCCTAAAGCGATAGGTCAACATTGGTTGAGGGAAATGAAGAATCACACTCTGACTTTACCCACCTGCCTCCATTTTACATATAAACCCTTTTTTTTCTTGACACGGAGATAACTGCCACGCTCCTTCAGGGATCCTCAGGGCAACGCACTGGCGGGGTTTGGTGTGGTCCGTGTTGGGCTTCTGCATGCCCCAGTCTGACCGGTCTGGGGGAGTCCCATCGAACCACTTTACGGTTTCATCTGTGGGGAAATTGCCGACCTATAAATTACGTGCATTGTTATCAAACCTACTAAGACTGGAATGAACCATAAAAATCAGCCCCTCCATTTACAGGGACTCTCTCTTTTTCTGATGTTTTTAACTCAGTACTTACAGTTATAACTAAGTTATGAACTCAATGAAAGGTAGGTAAGAATAAAGCTGCCTTGTGAACATTTCTCTATTTTAATTTAGTTCTAATTTGATTCATTTAGAATATCCTCTTTCTTAATGTAAGTTTGGATTTTGAAATAGTTCTTATAAGTAATTTAAAGAAATTATTTAAGAACTAATCAACATAGAGGAAAAAATCCTTTGAGGTCTTAACACCTGTATCATTACAAAATGGCTCACTTTCTAAAAGGATTTTACAGCGAGTTTCTTTAAATAGCAATCCTAGTGGTGTTCCAGTGGGTGGGGGCCTTGGGACAGTCCATTTACCTGTAGGCAATAAAGAGGCCCACTGTTGGAAAAGGATTGAAAATCAACACTAAAACCAACTAAAATTCTGCCAGCTCTTGCATCATCATGTGCTAGAAATTCTAAACGGCACCAGTGACTGAAATAGTCCTCCTTGCCAGAGTGGACTTGCCCCCCACCTTGGTACAGCACGGGAGCACACTGTCCGTCCCAGGTCCAATATTTGTCCTTACAAGAACTTTCAATAACCATCATTTAAATAAAAGCAAGAATACCATGCTCTCATTTGAATACAAACTCTGGTTTTTGTGAATAACAAATAACTCTCATAGCATAATTTCACAGGGAATTGTGCCTTTTAACATTTAGGATCCTGGAGTATTTTCAAATGAATATGGTTTTGGTGTCTATGACCAAGTCTGTAAACATAAAGTTTCAGTCAAGCATCTTCAAATAGATAAACTCATTTGTTTTTATCTGGGGTATTCTGTGGTTATTCACAGGAAAAGAGGGTATGGAGAAAAGAGTTGGCAATATTGTCCTTGGAAGAAATGGCTTAAAGACTCATGCTATTTTTTCACAGCAAGCAAGAATTTTCTGGTGTGCAGAGGCCATTTTCATCAGCCTTGACCACTGTGTATTTATTTATGCCCTCTCCTCTTTTTTTACACGAAGCACTTACTGTCACCATCAAACTGAGCATTCAACCAGACCATCTGGGCAGAAGCAGCAAAAACAACAAGCTCTTCTAGGAGAAATGAATTTTCAGCCTCATCCTTGATTGCTAAAAGATTAGATCCTGTAAAAGAGACAAACAGCAAATGAACAAGTATCTGTATTCACATGTCAATAAAACTTTAAAAATGTCTCCTATACCATCCATAATTTGTAAAGCTCAGGCTTTGAAAAATGAAAATTTCCATTTTATGTAAGTGATTTTTAATTAAAAATGTTAAAGCAAACCCATATTTATTAAGAAATATAAGTACTTCAGAAGTGAAAGCATAGAATATTAATTTTAGAGAACATTAAAAATTTGTAATTCAAATGAATCCAAAAGGAATATTTTGTGGGGGAAAGTGCAGCATTGACAAATCGTAGGTTTTAAAGTTTTATACTGGATACTGCGTTTCATATATTAGCCATCCCCCAAATAAGCAAATTCAATAGTATTTTTTCAATTTTTTTTTGTTGCTGCTAAAATCACTAAATAATCAGACAAAAAATTACATTGTTTACTAAATTATCAAGAAAGAGTACATTGAAAGCATTTTACCATCACAAAAGAATTACCTTCTTTTTTGCAAAATTCATGAGCAGCCTCAAAACTCATGCTGTCTAGCACTGTAGAAAAACTGTAACAATTACTTTTGAATTTTATCCAGGGAATAGATGTTTCTGAGCACAACTCTGGATGTCCAAATGGTCTTTCTTCTGTAAACAAAAATCAGTTATGATTTCAATGTGGTGACTGAGTATGAGATAAACATTGTATTACATTATATGAAAGACCAAGATAAATATATGTAATGAGATTTTCATGATAATACTCTGAACAATGGGTTTAATGTAAATGATTACAAAGCTAGGACTGGTCTATAGCATTTCTGGAAGAAATCACTTTTACCTACACGTAACAGGGCATACTAATGCGTATCTTCTTAGGCTTAGTTTGGGTGCTGCCTGGGTGAGGGTAGCTGACTTTCATGTTTATCATTAGTATCATATCAAGGGATATGATTCATAGAAATACTGGCAGCTGAATGAAGGTAGCAAAAGGCAATTCCAAATGTACAAAATGTGTTACGTACAGTGCTGAGTATTACAGATTTAGCAAATCCTTACCAACAAATCAATCTATTAGAGAAAATAATGTATTCAATACATAACATACATAACATAAAATAACATAACATAACATCATAACACAGGGAAATTGGGTTGGAATTTGCTTCAGAGGGCACGCATGAAAATCAGACACATCCACGCTGATATCCTGTGTAGGTGGCTGTGGGCATGATACCTATCCTCCCTACACTTTTGTTTCTTTATCTACAAAAGAGAGCCAACAACAACATCTTTCTAACAACTTGAGAAGTTTAAATGAGCTAGTGCCTCACGCTTCTTATACACTCAGTAAATGCACTGTTGTTGAAAGGGAAGGCTAACTTTAATGGTGTTTTAGAAGCAGAATTGCCTTTTCCAATATATATGGCTATTATTTATGTTTTCATCCTGAATTATTTTGATTTGAAGTTACATAATGTGCATGACATTTGACTCACAGTATCCAGGATGTAAGAAATAAATGAACTTTTACTAGACAAGAAATGCAAAGAGAAACCAGTCAGTGTTAAGGAACTCTATGGACACCGCAGCAATCATGGGAACGGGATCTTTTGTGGTGGCATAAATGTCACATCAGAGGGTAAGGAAACCAGGCTTCTACTCCTGGGGCTGTTGATGGACATCTAGGAGATCTCCAAGACGCTATTTAATGCTCTGAATTGATTTCATCTTTAAAATAAAGTTAACCTTGCCTACCCTGGCGAACTTTAAGTGTAATGAGGTGTTACTATTTTTTTAACTTTTAAATATATATGTAATATAGTTATAAATGTTATTACCATTATTATTATGATAACTCTAGAATCCTATTCATCCTTGACTTAAACATAAAGCCCCAGTCTGGTTTTCAAGGCCATCCATGCTCCTAACCCACATTTCTAGCCTGATTTTCTCCCTTTTTAAAAATTTTTTTAATTAATTAATTAATTTTTCCAAATACATTTTTCTCGGCCTTTCCCCTACCACTTTCCCCTCCTCTCTCCTCCCTCTACCTCCCTCAATCCTTCCCCATTTTGGTTTTGTCCATGAGTCCTTGCTATATGTTCCTTGACTTGCCCCTTCCCTTCCTTTTCCCCAGCCCACCTCTCCCTCCTTCCCTCTTGTCTCTGTTGGTTTCTTTTTCTTTCAGTGTTGCTGGTCTTATTTTCCTTGCATCTTTGTTTTGTTCGTTAGGTTCAACTTATAGGTGAGATCATATGGTATTTGTCTTTTGCCTCCTGGCTTATTTCGCTTAGCATAATGTTCTCTAGTTCCATCCATGCTGTCGCGAAGTGTAGTAGTTCTTTTTTTCTTCCTGCTGCATAGTATTCCATTGTGTAAATGTACCATAGTTTTTTGATCCAATCATCTGCTGATGGGCATTTAGGCTGCTTCCAACACTTGGCTATTGTAAATTGTGCTGCTATGAACATTGGGGTGCATAGGTTCTTCTGAATTGGCGTTTTGGGATTCTTCAGGTATAGTCCCAGCAGGGAAATCACTGGGTCAAAAGGTAGTTCCATTTTCAGCTTTTTGAGGAAATTCCACACTGCTTTCCACAGTGGCTGCACCAGTCTGCATTCCCACCAACAGTGTACTAGGGTTCCCTTTTCTCCACAGCCTCGCCAGCACCTGTTGTTTGTGGATCTGTGTATGATGGCCATTCTGACCGGTGTGAGGTGGTATCTCATTGTGGTTTTGATCTGCATTTCTCTGACGGCTACTGATGCCGAGCATCCTTTCAAATGTCTCTGGGCCTTCTGTAGCTCTTCCTTGGAAAAGCATCTGCCCAGGTCCTTTGCCCATTTTTTGATTGGATTGTTTGTCTTCTTAGAGTGGAGTCGAGTGAGTTCTTTATACTCACTTGATTTTGGAGATCAAACCTCTATCTGATGTATCGTTAGTAAATATATTTTCCCATATGGTTGGCTTCCTTTTCATTTTGCTGATGTTTTCTTTAGCCATGCAGAAGGTTCTTATTTTGATGAGGACCTACTTGTTTATTCTTTCCTTTATGTCCCTTGCTTTAAGAGACATATTGGTGAAAATATTGCTTCATGGGATAGCTGAGAGTTTCCTGCCAATGTTCTCCTCTAGGACTTTTATGGTGTTGTGACTTATATATAAGTTTTTTATCCATCTTGAGTTTGTTTTTGTGTATGGTGTCAGCTGATGATCCAATTTCAATTTTTTGCATGTAGCTGTCCAGCCCTCCCAACAGCATTTGTTGAAGAGGCTATTATTACTCCACTTTATGCTTCTGCTCTCTTTGTCAAATATTAACATATTTGATTAACATATGACGAAATGTCATATAGTCCTGGGCTAATTTCTGGGCTTTCTATTCTGTTCCACTCATCTATGGGTCTGTTCTTGTGCCAGTACCAGATTGTTTTGAGTATAGTGGCTTTGTAATATAGTTTGATGTCTGGTATTGTGATCCCTCCAACTTTGTTTTTCTTTCTCAAAATTGCTGTGGCTATTCAGGGTCATTTGTGGTTCCATATAAATTTTTGAAATGTCTGTTCTATTTCTGTGAAATACGTCATTGGTATCTTAATAGGGATTGCATTGAATCTATAAATTGCTTTGGGTAGTATGGACATTTTGCTGATATTAATTCTTCCAATCCATGAGCACAGTTTATGCTTCCATTTATTTGTGTCTTCCTTAATTTCTTTCTTCAATGTTGTATAGTTTTCTGTGAACAGGCCTTTTACCTCCTTGGTTAAATTTATTCCTAGGTACTTTATTTTTCTTGTTGCTATATCGAATGGTATTTTTTTTCTGATTTCTTCTTCTATTTCATTGCTGGTGTACAAAAATGCCTCTGGTTTCTGAATATTGACTTTGTATCCTGCTGTTTTGCCAAATTCACTTATTAGGTTGAGTAGAGTTTTGGTGGAGTCTACAGGGTTTTCTATGTACACTATCATGTCACCTGCAAACAATGATAGTTTTACCTCCTCCTTTCCAATTTGGATGCCTTTTATTTCTTTTTCTTGTCTGACCACTGTAGCTAGGACTTCCAGTACCATGCTGAAGAGAAGTGGTGAAAGTGGACATCCTTGTCTTGTTCCGATCTTAGCCAGAAAGCTTTTAATTTTTGCCTGTTGAGTATGATGTTGGCTGTAGGTTTTTCATATATGGCCTTAATTATGTTGAGGAATGCCCCATTTATTCCCATTTTGCTAAGTGTTTTCATCATAAATGGGTGCTGTACCTTATTGAATGCTTTTTCTTATCTATAGAGATGATCATATGGTTTTTGTCTTTCCTTTTATTTATGTGATGTATTACATTTATTGACTTGTGTATATTGAATCATCCCTGCATCCCTGGGATGAATCCCACTTGATCATGGTGGATAATCTTTTTAATGTATTGCTGGATGCGGTTTGCAAATATTTTGTTGAGGATTTTAGCATCTATGTTCATCAGTGAAACTGACCTGTAGTTTTCTTTCTTTGTAGAGTCTTTATCTGGTTTTAGGATTAGGGTGATGCTGGCCTCATAAAAAGAGTCTGGGAGTCTTCCCTCCTCTTGGATTTTTTGGAATAGTCTAAGAAGAACCAGCTTAGCTCTTTCTTAAATGTTTTGTAAAATTCTCCTGGGAAACCATCTGGCCCAGGGCTTTTGTGTGCCAAAAGTTTCTTGATTCCTGCTTCAATTTCCCCAGCTGTTATCGGTCTTTCAAGCTTTCTGTTTCTTCCTCCTTCAGTGTTGGAAGATTATACTTTTCTAGAAATTTGTCCATTTCATCAAGGTTTTCAAATGATTTCCTACCTCTCCCTTAACCATAACCTGCGATGCAGGAAAATCTCAACACCAGCTTTGCCTTATCCATGTCCAGTCCTCCTTCCCTCCCTCCCTCCCTCCTTTCCTTCCTTCCTTCCTGTCTTTGCCCAAGCTTTCTGCTCAGAATGCTTCTCCATGTCCCACCATTACACTGTTTACATACTTCAAGGACAATCTCCACAGTCAAGTCCTTCAACAAGTCTTTCTACATGTTTCTCCACATTGGTATGATGTGTTCTTTTTCCCACTAACTCCCACAACACATGCTGCCTCTCATATTGTTTGGTAGTCCTGCTTAGTATAATAGTTATTTGTCTCTACATCACCTACCAGACCAGAGGTTTCTTGAGGGCAGGTACTCCTTACTACTCTTCCCCATCATTCCTGCCTAGAACAATGCCTTGCATACAGCAGGTGTATGGTACCTATTTTTGAGTTGAATAGGATTGAACCTACCAGTAGGTACATGACAAATGGCTCCTTGCAGAAATGATTCACAGGCTGTGCTACTCCAGCGCCCATTGGTGTCAGCAAAAACACAGTCACCCAGCAAGGATGACTCATCATCTTTCCAAAAGGTGAAGGAGGATTTGGTGCCATCTGACCAGTCAAAACTGAGACCATTCTGTGGAGGGAAATGGAGCCATCATTTCCTTGCCAAGACTGCTGGTGGCACCACCCAGTGCTGTTTGAGCATCTCTCACTTCACACATAGATTTGTATTTCTACACCTTAGATTTCTATTTCAGCAGGTCTGGGACAGCTTGTGAATATGGCCTGGCAAAAAGGGATATCTGCCACAAGAGATGTCTTTTCTAGTTTTGGGGAATCTTTGGCTCCCTGGCACCATAATTTCCCAGCAAACAATCAGAGTGAAGTCAAATCAATACCTTGTACTTTATACTAAAATAAATTTCAGACTGATCAAAGATTCAAACATAAAATTGACCATATGAGTGCTAAAGAAAACTTGGCTAAATATTTTATACTCGTAGTGTGGGGAAAATCTTTCCAAGTCTGATAGAAAGCCCAAAAGTCATAAAGCAAAAATTGACCAGGTAAGCTAAAACATTCCGTAATTGAAAAACACAGTAAACGACAACAAAATACCATCTTTTCACCTATCCCACTGGCAAGCATTAAAATTTTGACATACTCAGTGTTGGCAAGGTTATGAAAAAACTAGATGTTATCATATACTGGTGTTAGCATGTAAATTGGCGCAGACTTCTGGAGGGCAACGGCACTACTTGTGAAAATTTAAAGTGTACTTAGCACTTCACTTCTGGGAACTCACTCTACTTGCACAAGGATATTTGTTGTGCATTGTTTGTAACTGTGAAAACTGGGAAGAACCCAAAAGTCCATTCATAGAATTGTTTAATAAATTGTGGTATATCCTTACATGTGTTAAATTTTTATGTGTTGACACTGAAAGCTGTACAAGGTACATTAAATTAAAAAAAGCAAGTTTAAAGACAGCACAGATAGTAAGTTCTCATTTGTATTTAGAAAACAATATTCACCTATTACATTTATATGTATGTGTCTCTAGAGAAAATTTCTAAATGACACACAGGAAACTGTTTACAGCGATTGGCATTGGGGAGAAGCACAAGAGGTCAGGATAGAATAGGTATATCTTTCACTAATTTGAGTGTGTCATATTTCTATTAAAGAGAAAAGAAAACTAAAAAACAGTATCTTACCCTCCACACCACATCCCTGGAGGAGAAAAATAACCTACATGTTAAACGGCAGAGGGTAGTGAATTAATAACCAAATTTCTAGGCAGAAAACATGATTAATTTTTCTTGGGGATTTCTTAAATGCAACAAATTACCCAAATGCAGGTGCTTGAGTTTAGGATGTTGTTCCAGTGCATGAGGAAGTATTCTGCAATTTCTCATAAATTTTCCTAGAACCTTTAAAGGGCATTCATTTCCAGAAACTAAGCAAGTAAATATTTACTCTTAAAAGGTGTACACACTTATTTTGTGGTCATAGGCTTCTCCTAAGATTGGTCAATGTTTAGTGTATAAACCTATGACCTAAATGCTACATTTACTAGGAGATTTCTTTCTGTGCCAATTTCAGTGGCTATGTTACTGAGGAATTAGATGTGAAACTTAAGCAGGCAAGGGTTGTCCAAGGGATTTTAGGACGCCTACATCTGCGGTGAACAGTCCAATCCAGTGGGCATGTCCTAGCCGGCTGAGGATGACAGTGAGGAAGGACTGATGATACAGATCTGTAATGCTGACCAGCTCCGCTCCATGCGTCAGACAGGTCTTTTGTGCTGTATACCAAGTCATATTTGCACTAATTATTTTGTAAGTTCTGTTTCCATATTCCAAGGTATTGGGGATTGCATACATGTCAGGTGTATTTACACTATGTCCAGAAGTATCTAGAACAAGAACACAACAAAAATCATTTGTAGCATCTGGATGAGAAAAGGGGAGGCAAAGCCTAGCGTGGAAACCTTTCACAGTGGTCTATGCTGTGGTTAACGTGAGCATTTTTCTTCCCAGAATTGACTACTTCAGAATGAGGACACCACCTGAAAGCATAGGTGATGCAAAAGAATGAAAACACATATGAAACTTTGTGAATGAGTTTCTTTTAAAAACATAAATATATGTGTATATTAAACATTTCTAGGAGGTTTCCTATTTTGACCATCCTTGGTCAAACTGACCACTCTTTGATGGAATTCATGGGATCTCCTTAGGTAGGCTTCATTCTGCTAGCTCTACTCGGCCTGACGCATGCCTCTCTGGCAGAACCTAATACTTACTAAGAGCTTATTGACACATGTCATATAGTCATTCACTACGCTGCAAACACAATTTATAAGTGTGTATTGCCAAATATAACACTTTATTAAACTTTTGAGGTTGTATGATAATTACTTACCATATTTAATGTTTACATATATACATTCTATAAAGAAGATTAAAAATTAACGAACAGAAACACACTGTTCTTATAAATACTTACTATTAAAGTCATAGGTCAGAGTTGAGATTTATAAATTAAAAGGCAAAGTTTTCCCACATGTGATCATGGTGCTTTCTTGTTCGTGATCAGTTGTGATCAAATAAAAAGCAAGTCTGTGTTCTACATACAGATGTTTCCTCTTTAATATGTGTGCGTGTCCATTTGCTCTGTATTATATTATGTACTTGGATAGGCTAAATTTTGAAAACTTAAAATACAAAAACAAGTGTTTCTTAAGTGTCTGCTCAAAGTGGCTGGGATTTCTTTCTATATACTGATTTTATTACATTTGGGCTTAAAAAGGAGCATAGTGAGATGTGGATACTCAGAAGACCTGTGACTCAATTCTCGTCGTGACCTTGAATGTCTGGGAAACCCTAGGAATTAGTTAATCCCTCAAAACTTCACATTGATGGGCTCTAAGATTAGTAAGGCCTGCCCTGGACACGTAGCTCAGTTGGTTGGAGCATTGTTCTGATACACCAAGGTTGTGGGTCTACTCTGGGTCAGGCCACATACAAGAATCAGTCGATGAAGGCATAGATAGGTGAAACAACAAGTTAATGTTTCTTCCTCTTTCAAATCAATCAATAAATAAAATTAAAAAAAGAAAGAAAAGGCCTTCCTTAGAGAGAAGTGGTAGAATTCAATGAAATATCTACAAAGGGCACTTACTATAGTATGAGGGATATAGCAGGCACTCAATATATGTTGCTTCTTATTCCCTTCTCTTCCTCTCTTCACACTCTCCCAAATAAAAATGATAAACTGGGAATTTGACTTTTATCTGAAAATGTTACCACAATACATTTTGTACATGTTGCAAAACCAAAGTGAAATTAATTTATTTACCAAATAAATTGTGATGGACTATACTTTTGTCATTTGTTTTTTGTTAGAAGATTTTGCCAGCTTATCTACAAAGTATAAGGTTATTTATATAAAACTGATATAAAACCAAGTAGCTATTTAAAAGTGTTGGGTTGGCTTTAGCTCAAGTGGTTACTTCATCATGGCAGACCTTTAAAGTGTTAACAATTAATAAAATTAAAGTTAATAAAATTCTTTGTATATGTGACCCAAATACCAATTTAACCGTTTTTCCCACACTAAGTTATATATCTGTATTTTCACATATATGAATTTCTCCTTATGTAGTTGATTTCATCAAGTTTCAAAAAATAAGTGACTTTGAGCAACACGATTTTATCACTTATTTCTGTAAAAAAGAAAGATCCATTGGAAGCCAAGTTCCAAATTGAAGGTATTGACTTTGCCCTTGTTTCTCTTTTTATTCAGACATTTTATTTTTTTCACACAGATTAGAGACTTTAGGCTATAAGCAGAACATAGATGCATTTATATGGCACATTAAGAAGAGGAGCAAAATTTGAGTAATCATTGTAGACTACTAAAGAATTTGTGTAGTTAAATAATATGGCTTGAAATTAACAAGAAAAAGAATTATTCTTTGTTAAACCTTTGCTGGGAACTTGCTAAGCACTGTATATACAGAAAGTCTATGAGATAATTCATTTTTATAGATGCAGAAATCAATGTTCAGAGAAGATGAGAAACTTGACTGATAGTTTATTTACAGAGGTGGGGTAGGAACCCAGGAATGGTGTGAACTTCAGTACCCACTATTCTATACTACCTCCAAAAGAACATACACTTTGTTAGTCCCCAAAACATCAAAGAGGTAAAGTGGTCAGGAGTACATTTCAAGAAGAGATCAACATCAAGGCTGTAACAGAATAATTGTATTTAACTGAGAGACCTTGAGTGTGTTACTTATTTTTTTCTAATCTTCAAGTTCCTCATTTGTAAAATGGGAAGACTTTTACCTACTTTTTAGATTTGTCATGAGGATTTTATGGCATAATGCTTATAAAGCCAAGGCACAGGGCCAGGTACATCATAAGTTTGCAAGGACATGGTATATTGATATAGTTCTTCCCCACAAGTCTCTGTTCTTCTCCTAATACTCTTGATGTGACTGACCTGGTATTTTCTTTCAGTTCCCAACCACTATTATGATTAAGTGACACCTACGAACTAGGAAACAGGGCTTCCTTGGAACTGCCTTTCTGAGGATGGGTTGATACCTAGTATCATTAAAAGGCTCACATGTTAGCAAGAGTAAGAGCTATAATTCATATTACAGGTAAGCACATATATGAGGTTGCCCAGAGTTTTCCACAGTTCCAGACATAAACTATAGTCTTCTAGGTTGGCATGGTACAGGGAAGCCTAGCATGCAGTAAACGTATGAGACATGAGCAATTGTTGTTGTTTTTATTTTGATTACTCAAGATCACCTATGGTGCATTCATACCATTCATCAACCCCATTGGCTACTTGTAATAGTACGGCTTTGGGATTTTACCCCGAAAGTCACTGGGGGTTCTCATGATCAGATCTGGAAACATGCTGCATGCCATATTTAGCCTCAGAGACCATTTTTAAGGCTCTAAGAAAGGAGTGAGTATTGACTTGGTTTGATTCCTTGACTCTTTTCCAGCATTTTGCAATGCCTTTTTTTTTTTTAATTGCCTGAACAGACACATAATCTCAGAGCGAAGCAATAAAACCTTTGAATATAACCAAATGGATGCATAGACTTGGCCATCACTGAAGTGGCCTCTGCGGTCCTTAGGACCCCACGAGAGGGCATAATCCTGGGGCAGTGGAAATGTAGGGGCTGCACGTGTGCGAGGGTGAAAGCATCAGTGCCTGGTGCCCTGAGCAGCAAAGCCGTCAGTCACGCAGCGTGTGAAGCAGACACGGAAGAGAAGAGTGGGCCACGGAAGTGAAAGAAATAAAAAAAGCAAATACCTCTTACCTTGCATTTTCTCACAAACATACCCATAACCTTCTTTTCCACAGTCTTCAAAATACCATTTTCCAGTGAAGTGAAAATTAGGGTTACTTGACAGCAAAGCACAGAGAGGAATGTGTTTTTGAACTTTGCTGGTGTTACCACTTGGAATCTTTAAAAGAATACATTTAAAAAAGTATAACATAACATTATTATAACATTGACATTTTTATTAAGGGCATATTTTTTAAAACTTCAAATACCATTATTCCTTTGTTTGCATTTCATAAACCTGTTCACAAATCACTTCATAACCTAAAGCATAAATAATTCTTGTGATGAATAAAGTCATTACATTTATGGAACACATGAAAATTATATAAAATTGTATTATTAAAAATTAATATAACCAACTAATGAAAATTTATGCCTATAAAATACAGGTGTAAAAAACTTTAGTAAACAAGTCTTGAATAGAATCTCTTGCCAATTTCTAAAAAAATAAATCTTAAAACTTACATGTATTGTATCAAATGGAGACCAGTTAGAATATACCACAGGTTTTCCATTTAACCATTTTTCATAATCATCATTTTGTAACCCTATCCACACATTAGTAGTCTGACCAAAAAGATTCATGGTAATGAAAGCTGAAAAATAAGAATACATCATAAAATTTAATACTATGTAAACCATTTGGTTAATCAGCCAATTCTGTTTATAGCGACTGTTTTATTTAAATGACAGCAAAACTTAATTACAAATCAGTTGTCAGAATTACTTTGTCCTTTTTAAGGTAATGCAGTCTCTCTCACTTTTGTTTCAGTTTAAATTGAAGAAATTAGTTGGCTAAGCCTAGGATTTCATCATATCATTAAAAAACAATTTCCAGTATTCATTCAATGGCTTTCTTAACAAAAGAGGATTTATTTGCTTTGTTTAAACTAAAGTATAAAATTGCCTACATATGTAATAAAAGTCTGTAGGTGAATCTAAAGGGTCTATAAAAGGATGCCTTACAATTATAGTAGCTTCACCTCAGATTATTTTAGCCATTTTGAAATATTTTAGCCATTTTTAAACACACATCATAAATATGTCCTTGTTCTTTCCACTATTTGTGAAACAGACAAGTCTCCAAAAATCCAGTTTATAAGCAGTGCAGTGTACTAACTTTTACATATGTCATGATATAAACCTTATAGAAAATTCATGGAAATATTGATTTAGAAATGTTAGAATTTGGGAAGAATACTTTAATGAATACTTGAATACAAATGGTTACTTTTGCCTGACTGAACATTGAATACCTTGCTCCACCTCATTTTCAATGGTGACCAGTGTACCCCCTTCTCCAACACAGAAATCTTGAGCAGACGTCCAGTTCTTCCAACCACTTGGGTCTTTGGGGATTTTCACCAAAAGGCACTATAAAAAATAAAAAATGTTTACTTCCATATTTTTATAACGAAGTAAAAATTTTTCAAAGATGCTGAGGATGAGCCTTGAAAACTCGATAATTTTCTTACTCAGAAATGACTCCTTGTTTTCTCTGAGACACTTCAAAGGTGGAAGTAAAATGAAGAGAACCAGCTTTCAGGGTATGTGCCTAGCCTCCACTGCATCAGGCAGGAACAGGAGCAAGGATGTGTTCTGTCATGTGAAATATCAGAACGAGTTCTTCTGCTCAGTGAAAAGTAGCATTCCTTCTAAAAAGGAGCCAGCCTGACTGCAACGTTTATAGTGGCAGATTTAATCTAAATTGGGCTAGTAACAGCTTAGTTCAGTTTTGATTGCAAACACACTCCCTCAATTGCTGTGAGGGAGAAATACTAGGGAGTCAAAACAACACCAGGTGTTTAAGTTCACTAGGAACTTGGAATTAGCCATGTGGTCGCCAAGTCCATGAGGTAGAACCAGAAAAGAAAACATGAGCCCAGTGGGAAGAGAAGCTAGGGCAGAATCAGGGAGACCTAGGAAGAAGACACAATGGGAGGGTGGCCAACACTGCCAAATGGAGCACAAAAAAAATGGTTGTGGGATTTGGCAGTGAGAGTTGATTGTTACTCATGAGAGAATCCTGTCTGTGGCACTGCAGGGATTACTCATTATGGGAAGAGAAAAGCAATAGTAGCTACTAGGCAGCACAGGCAGAGGTGAAGAAAACCTCCCCACTCTCAAAGCTCAGTAAGATTTAAACATGTTAGTAGAGCCAGGCGGGGTCCGGGGAGAGAGAGAAAGGGAAAAAAAGCTATAACAGATCAGGCTAAGTTCCAGAGACATCAGTAGAGACTAAATGCAAAGGATGCTCCATAAAAACATTCTCTCATCAATGAACATAAGAAACCCTGGTCGTTAATGTCAGATCCCAGGATCATGCCATTGAGAAAATCCCATCCTCCTCTGAAATGTCATCCTTTCCCATCTTTCCATAATTTCTAAATTTGTCACATGTCCCTTCCTCTGTTCATGGATTCCTTAAAAGCATAGAGACTAAGGGTTGTTCCTCTTTGAATATCACAACAAAGAAGGCCACCAATGAATATTTATGGAGTGAAATAAACCCAAGAGACTGTGATGGTTGTCAAATGACATCAGATATTCTAGATTTAGTCCAGTGGTTCTCAAATGGGGCCATTTTGCCCCTCAGGGGGTATTTTGATAACATCTGGAGACATGACTGGTATCACATCTTGAGGTGGGGGATTGCTATTGGCATCTAGTGAGTAGAGGCCAGGAAAGCTGCTAGACTTTTTATAATGCACAGGGCAGTCCCCCAGAACAAAGAATTTTCCAGCCCCAAATGTCAATAGTGCCTAGGTAATTCTTTTCAGAACTCAGTTCTGATCAGGTAGGTATTCTTTAGTCTAAACCCTTCAGTGACTTTCCACTGTTCTTAGTCACTGTTCAGTGACTTTCCACTGTTCTTAGTACAAAAACCAGAAACCCTGATCTAGCATGAAGTTGAGTTACCAACTAAGAGAGGAAGTACATTTTCAATTCTGGTTCCCTTCACCTTGTTTGCTTCACAAAGAAACAGAATTGGCTGTGAAAGATTTCAATTTTACAACAACTGTCTTTTTATCTATTTCTTTCTTTTTTCCTCTTTACCCTAATTACAAATACCAGACAGTGGCACATACTAATTATTAGGAAGCCTTATCATTTAATGTGAGTTCACCTTGTGTTCAAATAGTCATACTAATGAACCATTCATAAATACCAATGAACCACATTGGTTCAGTTAGTTCAATAATATCTCTCCAGAACACACACACACACACACACACACACACACACGCACACGCGCACTCCCCTCTTCTTCTATCCCCCTCCCCAACATTTGCCTCAGCCAAGATTTACCAGCCTGATGGTGAGAGTGTCTGCCTCCCATTACCAGGACTTCACTGTTTCTAAAAATATAACATATTTACTAACACACTTCAAAATGGTGTCATTAACAATTAAAGTAAGCAGCAAGATGAAGTACAACATCCTTAATTTTAAACTGTTTATTTACTTACTAATTTGCAAAATGTGATCGAGTTTAATGCGTCTCTGATTATAACTGTGAATTGAGGCTATCCCTCCGTATTCCAAACAAGTTTTGAATATAAAATTCTTTTTTTTTTGTCTGTTTCAAAGTCATTTCCAGGTTAAAATTTGAAAATAGAACTCAGGATCTAAGCCCCAAACTTGGTCCTTTGCCAGGTTCTTACTGACCTTGAGTGCCCAGTCAATGCCGCAATCATACAAGCCGGGAACGGGGGAGTCGCCCTCCCTCTCCCACTCCCTCACCTCTCCAGCCCTACCATTTGGAAATCCCATTCCCCAGAGTCCCCCACCACTCCCACTGCCCCACATTCTTTGTCCCCATCATCTTAGCTCAAGCCACTAACACTCTCTTGCCTGGACTATTGCAATAGCTTCCTAGCTGCACTTACCTTTCTCACCTTGCCCTCTTCCACTCTGTATTGACACTGCAACTTGAGTGATTCTTCTCAAAATTCAGTCCTGACTGTGCCCCTCTTTAGTTAAAACCCTTCAAGGGTTTCTCATTGCCCTTGGCATAAAAACCAGCAACTCTAAGAGGCTTTAACCCCTGCCTACTTCTTTCGTCTCAGCTCTCGTATCCTAGATCTGTATGCTTCCTTTAGTTTCTTAACTATGTCAGATTCCCTCTCACCCTAATACCTTAGCATATGCTATTCCCCCTACTTTTAATGCCCCCTGTCTTTTTGACCACCTCAGTCAGGTCCTCCTGGTATACATTTTAAACTTTGTAACACTTCTTCCTCATATGTGCCATAACTTTAAATTATACAATATTTTCCTGATTGATTCACTCATGTCTGTTCCCCCTCAAATCTATAAGCTCCAAAAGAGAAGGGATTGTGTATATTTTTCCTTACCAAAGACTTACCAACATTCAACATAGTTGAATGAACGAATTAATGAATGCATAAAATGCTGCTAATTGGAATACATTTTTTTTAAAAAAGAGGAGTGTTTTTTAAGACTATGTTGTGCATGAAATAAAATCCTGGTTAATGCCAAACTAGATGGTGCAAAACAGCCATTAGCACTTAACCTAGGTCTTTGTATAAAAATGTATAAGTAGAAGCACAAAAGTTCATCTGATACACACACCCATACACGTGTAGAATTTCTTCCTGCTGCAACTCTGCTGTGGCAAATATGTTCCCGGGGTAACCCCTGGTCAAGCTTCTTTTGTATCACCAAACATGGAGGAAACCATCTATAAACATTAGAAAAGATGCTTAACTTCTGGTATCTCAGTTTTAAAACTCTAGAAGGTAGACAATCAGTCAACCAACTGAATCTTTTTTCCTTAGAAATAACCAATAAAAATTAGTATTAAGAAGATGACAAACAAGATACAAAGTTTAATAACACAGAACATGTTGGAACTCCTCCAGAACTGCGAAGCGAGTACTGTCTGCATTGCTGTCTCCCAATTTTCCTTTGGGAGATTTTTTAAAAAATTAATCAGGGGAACCATTCCACTGGGTGCTCCACTCCTCTCAGCTATCAATCAACTTTTCTAATAATCTGATAAACTCACTTATTCCAAAATGTAGGTGACAGATGTGTCACTCTCAGAAATATTTCTCTGAAACAAAATCAAGTGTTAAGGCAAATAAATGACTCTTGTGGTAGGATTTTAGCCATTAACATGCAGGGTATGGTGCTGGGTCGGGGGACACAATTGTGGTCCCCGAACCCTCACTGATAAAAGGTCACCTTTGTGTGAAGTCTGCTGTGATGGTTTCCTTAAAAATCAAATCCTCTGAATAGTATGAAGACCAAGTTGTGCTACTGTTACACTGCTGGGGAAGTATTGGCTGTACATTAGAATAACTAAGGGAGAGTTTAAAACACTGATGCCTGGATCCTATGCAGATCAAACAAATCAGAATCTTAAGGATGTCACCTTGACATTTTGAAAAATCTTGCCTGGTGATTCTAAATATATGATCAGGGCCATGAATCGCTAATCTAGCTGTTAGTTATCGATAAAGGTTTTTTTAAAAAAAGATTCTGAGCTACATGAGGGTGTTTGAATCCTCCTTCACAGCTCGCTTCACAGGGTCCTTCTCCTCACCTGGATGTGCCTGCACTTCGCTCTTGCCACTTTCTATGCCTTTCAAAGGAAGCCTTTGCTTGCTCTCCGCCCTGGGTCTGCTCCCCCATGCTCGCCCGCATGCCCATGTGTGTCCTTGATGCCTCTGCTCACACAGGAGCAAACACGGAATAGAGCAAAGCTATGTGGATAAAAACGTTTGGGGGAAGGATAATAGCCAAAGGCTGAACCAAAATCAGCCAGTGTGAGTTTCTGAGAGTTATATCTCTAATGCCAAGGATTAGAGTTGCCATTTATATCCTCTCTTGTCCATGGGAGGAATTATGAGTTAGTAACTAGAATAGTTGTGTTCTTGTTTTGGGGTTGTTCGCTGTATCAAAAAGGTGATGGCTAAACAAGATAGGCATTTATTTGTGCCTGTTCTCCACAGACCTCTGCCAGGATGTACTTGTTATAATAGTTGTAAAAAACAAGCACTTACAAGAATACAACTGAGCATACAGATTAAAAATTGGCTCTCTATGATCAAACAGCAAAGATTTATAATTTGGGATGCACTTTAACTACTTTCACCTAAGGCTTTATTTTATTATACAACATAAGGAGTGGAGGGGAAGTCTCAGCTTTAACTGGAGGCCGTAATCAGAAACAATAAATCTGGTTTACAATATCCATGCTATCAATTAAAAAAACTCAGTTCTGCATGGAAGCACCCACTTTATGAGGCTCAAGACGACGAAGACTGAGCTATGTTAGTAGTAGGTCAATTCACAAGGTAGGCAGAGCTCTATGCAGGGACATGTCCAGGCAGAGAAGACACAAGAAGGACCTGGTGGAGCTTGGGCGCTCTGGAGTGGACAGCTTATTTGGGAACAGGGCCTAGATACACAGGCACACACACACACGTGTGCACACGCACGTAGGCATCACACAGGCACACAGCACAATGAATGAATATACAACAACTGAACGTATATGGAGGGTGGTGTCAAGGCTGTTTCTCACAAACACTTCTTATTCCAAGAGGGTTGTCCCTAAATCGAAAACGTCTCAAATCTCTGGAAAGTTGTGACTAAAAAATTCCAGGGCCAATGGACAAATCATGGTTTTTCAAAGCCACACCCATTTTTACAAGTTTACCTTATAGTTAAAATAGAGCCATCCTTTAGGACATGTTCCATGCTGTTTTGGTGTATCTTTCTGTTTCTCTACAATCCAAAACTTTTTTCGCTTACAGATGCTAGGCATAGAAACTGAACACTCTTCACTAGACCAGAGTCCTGGAGGGGAAAATGGGTTAGAAATGAATAGAAACAATGGTGACTCTTTGTACACATTGTCTATTGACTGCTATTTTTATGACTGCCACGGTTTATCATAGCTTGTTTTTTAAATCTAGAAACTGAACTAAATTTAACTATGAATCATAGAGTTCTCCAGTGACAAAAGCTAAATGGGCAAGGTGCCAAATCAGTAACTCTAATTCAATAATGTAAATGTAAAAAAAAAAAAAACTAAAGTACTGCAGTTGAAATCATAGAACTGATTAAAGTTCTAAGAGTATTTAACTTGGTTAAGAAAAGACTATTTTGTAGAGTAATGTTTTTGTTTCAAAGTATTCAATTTCAATGTAAAGAGAGAAAAAAGATTCTAAAATCAATAGATGATCATTACTATTTTATAATTCATTTGAAAATATAATAATTTAGAAAAATTAACCCATGAACTTTTAAGAAAGGAACTCTTCTTAACACTGACCCTTAAACAAAACAGGCACATATAGACACGTCCTCAAGAAAATACATCCCAAAGTCCCCAGCCTCCTGGAAAATATTTTTGAATTTGGAAGAGCTATATTTTTCAGAGATTATAGACTGTATTTCATTAGCTTCCAAGTTATAATTCCAAAACGGGACACGGTGCACAAAAATTGCAAGGGCAGATTCAGTTTTCTAATATGAGAGATAGGAGACAAAAGGATGTCCGTTGACATTTTGAAGTAGGGGTAGGAATGCTATTTTTAATGCAGATTAGCTGCTCTTTTTCCAGTCACAAAAAAGCCTTTCTGTAGGCTGTTGTGACACCTGCTGGCAAAAGCAAGCTGATTAACTGCATGGTTTTTCTTTTCCTAACTTCGTGGAAGCCCTTGCATCAAGGATTGTTCTCCATGTTTATTCTGCTCCTGACTCGGGACACAGGTTTATTATGAATCTGTTAGAGTTGAGAATATCATTCCTTTTGTTGGAGAGAAAGAGTAGGGTAGATATGAGTAGACAATCAACCCAAGTAACATTGTACTGATGAGTAGAATTTAAAAAACCAGTCTTCAACTTACATGTACTTCTAAATCCCACTTGCAAACAGTTGGTGTTCTAAGATAAGCAGCCATTAATGACAGGTATTAAAAAAAAAGATTACTGAATTCAATATAATATTTTCTTAAATGGGAAGTTGGAAGTAAATTTCTCAGAGATTAAAGATCTGGCGGATTATAAACTGGATACTAGGAAGAGATAAAAATGGACTCATAAATTTCATAGAGAATAGTATTTGGCAGACATAATTTTGATCACTTTCAATGGACACATTTTTGATGTTGTTTTAGTTCATAAGGAAGGACTTATCTGAATGTAAATTAATTTCAAGAACATGATTTCATGGAATAAACTGTATGAATGGCCATTTTTAGGCCTTAAGATGAATGAGTTGTACACATTCAATTCAAAAGGAAAATAAGCAAACAAAACTTTCTCACTTCCTAATGCACTGAAAAGGACATTTTAAGGCTCCTGAATAGTATTAGTTTGTACTATAAACCCCAAAATGGATGAATAAAATAACCTGTTATGGATGAAATGAAGCCACATTTCTGGCTCTGATTTTTCATAGATCCTCCTTTTCCTTTGTCCCAGTTCTGGTATATTACTGGACCTCCGTCTCTCCAGCTATAGGAAAATTAAAAATTTTAAGGTCTTCTCTCATTCTGCATGCTCAGTCTTCAACACTATTCTTGAAATACTGGGGTATGGGTTGGAGTCATAGTATTTTATTAAATAAAATAATATTCATGTCTTAGGTTAGGAAAATGAAAATTTATAAGCTAAAGATAATGTTTGAAGGCTGACTCAACAAACTGATCACTGAGATCTAGTACAATCATTCTGCAAATAAAACCTGACAAACAAAATTAAATGCTAACTAATCCAGGTTCATACCGAAATTCACCATTGGCTCTTTCTTCTTGAAGTCCAATCCACCAATTGACACCATACTTCGATAGCTATTTAAAAGGAAAGAAAAATGTCAGCATTTATTCTACCTGCTTTCCCTTTTCATTATTAAGATTAACAGTGCTGTTGTTAATAGCTTTCTGTTCTTCAGTATTTTACCCAATTATCTAAAGAAGAGTACACTAAGGCCTAGCATCTTGAGAAAACTTGAAACTTCATTATTCTAAAATATTCCCTCCTCATTATGAAGAAAAATTGGAATCAAATATTGAAAATAATTTTAATTTCATACAACACGCAATATCTTACGTAGAAATTTTCCTATGTATTTAAAAGTAAATTTTATCTTATAATAGGGATTTTAAAAGTAATATTGTAAAGTAAAATATTATGTGGATTTCTTTTTTTGACTAAGAATTTACTGACTTATCTTCTCAGTTTTTTATAGAAGCTCATTGTATATGCCGTTCTATTTGAAAAACAATTCAAGGCACAAAGGCATCAATAGGAGAAAGCTTTTGAATTTTAGGGATTAACCTGGTAAGCTTTTAAACTGAGTATTAGCACCCTCTCCTCTCTAATCAAATAGTGAAACACAAAATAGGACAAAAGAATATGACAGAATTTCCAGTATTCTGTCAACTAAAAACTCATCCTTTGTATTTTTACTAATTTTACACTATTATTTATCACACAGATCTCAGTATAATAAAGTATAAAATCCAAATATGTGCATGTGCACACACACATGTGCACACAAACACATTAGAACATGAATAATACTGGACTTCGGGCCCAGGAAATTGAAATTTCCTCTTCACTTATAAAAGAGGAAGAGGCAGTAAGGATTCTCTAAGACCTTTAAATTAATATACTTAATTGTTTATGTGCTGTGTGTGTAAAATGTAATTCAATTTTTTTATGCTAAAACATTCTGGAGGCATTATAAACTTAAATTTGCACTTCCATTTCTTCAGTAAAGACTTGAGAATACATTTTAAGATATATAGATATATATTTTCTCCATATGAATTTCGGGTCATTATAAAACAAAACCTCATAGCACTCTAATGTTCTAATTTATAAACAGGTATTTTTACTCCTTAAACAGTGTGGCTGTCTGCCACATCAGCAATTTGAGAACAACACAAGATGGAGCAACTATAATTTTGTATCCCTGAGGTGCTGTTTCATGGACGTGTTCTTACATGCTGAATTTTGATTCCCATTGTCAGGCTTTGGAATGGGTCCACTGAGACTGGATGTGAACTCAGTGGGAGAACCACAACAATTTCATTCAATCTAAAGAGGTCTCATGTGCAACAGTAGTGGAAATCGTGGCCTGATTGTTCACTGCCCCAATTAAGGACCTTTAAAGAGAAATTTTAACTACTGCATCTTAAGTAGCATATTTATAACCACCTCAATTACAGCATGGCAGTCCTGACATGGTGCCTCATAACCTGGTATGATGTGGAACAGAATTTCATGCGACAAGCTAGAGGATACCCAGAGAGAAAAATCCAATGCAAAATATGGATGTTTTAAAATTTAGCAGAGGTATAAAACCACAACAATAGAAGACATTAATATTCTTTGTATAAAATAATATTAAAAATGTGATATGACCATGGATTTCATAACAACAATTATGTTTTATTACAGACAATAGCCATTCTAGATAGCATCATATAGAAAGAACACTTACCAAGAAGAACTAAAAAAAAACACAGCAACAGCCAATGTATTAAATCTCTAAATGACATAAGGAACAATGACCCATCATCTCTTAAAATGTTTCCATCAAAATAGCAAACCTAAATCATCTGAGGGTTTAGAACACCAGTTTTTAGAAAACAGTTAATAACTTTGATATATTTTTTTAGAAATATTTAAAAATATAATTTTAAGAATAAGTCAAAATTTCATGTAGCAAATATTGCACGGTACACCATAAAAATGTTAGCTCAATGGACAAGTGGACTGGTAGTTCATGTCAAACAACTCCTAAAGAGCTTGTAGTCTTTTACTTTTTTGGCATTGATCTGACAAACAAGATGTCTCAAAAAAGATGTATTCAAAAATTCACTTTCATCCTGCCTGTGGTCTTCTGTTATTCAAAGAGAAAATATTGACTCATCATTTTTTCCAACTGTTATTTTTGTTTATTTGTATTTCTAAGTTACTACTCTTCATAGAGGAGCCATAGAACACATTTGTAATTAAAAAAAAACCATTTAATTCCCTATCCTGATTCTTCCTATGCTTATAGGATGAGTGTATCACAAAGTGAGTAGTGTGACTTCTACATTTTTAGTTCCTCATTCTGGAATGACATAACTTCTGGACTGATTCACTCCAGGAGGGCTTTTTTACACATGGAATTTCTTACTTATGTAAGCAGTCACCATAAATACCACCACTCCCACCAACAAAAGTACCTAACACAGCCACAGATTATGCAGAAATAAAAATTGCTCTAGAAATCCACAGCTTTCTTGTTTTCTAAATTGTTACCCTTTCCCCTTGTCCCCTTTCTTAGTCTCCACATCCTATACCATCACAGTAAGTTTGTTTTATAGAACAGTGCTGTGTTAGATCAGTCAGCTGCTCACCCCTAATACTGACAGGGCATTCTGTGTTAACATGGTCACAGGTTGGGCAGCAATTTTTGCCATATAAGAGACACCACAAGGTTTGTCTGGTTTGAGATCATAACAATATCTAGTCTTCAACTAGATCATGGCACTATGACTCTCAGACTGCCAAATCTGTGGGTTTTCATGTTCCTTGTATGGGAGGTATTAAGTTTGCCATCCCTACTGGTTTCCCAACCACTAAAGGTGGGGAGAGGGAAATAAGAGAAAGTTGAAGAGAGAACACCTGCAGACGTTCCCAGGAGATCTCAACTCTGTTGGAATGATCAGAGAAGCCTTTACTGTTCATGTCTAGGACAGAGCTGGTGCCATCTTTTGAGGGAGGGTTTTTAAAAAAGATTTTATTTATTTATTTTAGACAGCAGGGAAGGGAGGGAGAAAGAGAGGGAGAGAAATATCCATCTTGCCTCTCATATGCACCAAAACTGGGGATAAAACCTAAAACCCAGGAATGTGCCCTGACCCGTAATTGAACTGTCTACCTTTTGCTTTGCAGGACGATGCCCAAAAAACTGAGCCACACCAGTCAGGGACAGGGAAGATTTTAGTAGTAGCATTTTAATATAATGGAGACTTTATGCTCATATATACCCCTAATGCTGCTGTTTTGTTGCCAGCGCAGGGTTTTTTAAAATGATGTGTTAAGTCAGGTGGGTTCATTTTCAAATTCCACCACTTGGCAGCTGTGTAACCAACTTGATTCACCTCTTTGGAGTTTTAGGTCCTCATCTGTAAAATGTATTAATAACAGTCCCCACAGAGAGTTTCTGGAAAAATTAAACGTCATGAAATATTAGTACGTAGCACAGTGCCTGACATCGTTATGGTAAGTATTGGCCAAATATCAGCTCCTTATGGGATATGCACGCTGCCAAGTCAATGGGTCGGTTTTCAGCCTTGTTATTGCCACCTGGGTGAGGAGCCTGCTATCTAGCTAAAGAAATAAACATATTTTCTGACATCATTACATGTAATCTGTTGATACTTAACATTAAGGTTTGTCTTGAGTGTTACTTTTGCAGGCGCGAAAGGGTGGTAAAGTAGCACACAAACCACCCAAGAGTGGGGGGCATCTGGCTCTGGTGGCTGGCTGGCTGCCACTGAGTCCCTGTGGGACTGTGGAGCTGTCACCTAGCCTTGTTTCTTGGCATTTCCCTCAAAACTCAGTAGCAGTCCTCACCTGCCTGCACCTCACAGGCTATGTGGGCACCAGGCAGGATTATGGAGATGGGAAAGCCCCAGGAGCCGTGAAGATGGCATTTCTCTTATGAATACAGTGCTTTAGTATCGAGCTTCATTTTAGTCAATTTACAAACATGAAAAGGTGATAGAATGAGAGAGGATTCCTGGAGACCATGAAATAATGTTAAATTATAGAAAAAGAAAAAAGGCTTTGTCTTACTTTCAAGGATTTCCTAGGGAAAATTGGGAGTGAGATCTCCCACCCTTAGTGCCTCCCGGTAATTTCTACTGCTCTCTTTTTACTTAGTACATCATATTATTTCCAGCTTTTAAAAAAAATGAGACAAACACCCCAGTGCCTGACACACACCTAACACTCAATAAATACTTGTTAAAGAAGTACGCTGAAAATGTACTCTAATCTCTGGCAATCTGTTTCATTATTTAACACATTCTACATGCTTATTTCTAATTAGCATAGCTCTGCAAAAGAATAAGTCTAGTCTTTTTCTACCATAAGATGAAATGGAAAACCACTCCTTACCATTTTCTGTATATTGAGTCTTTACAAACTGAAAAATATGTACTCTTGGAAGTAAAAATTCAAACTTTAAAACAGCCATGCACCCCCAACCACTTCTGGTCCCTCATATGTGCTTTAATTTCCTCTGGGCCATTCATCTACTCACCGTTTTCTAAAACACTGTGTAATTCTATTTACTTGTATTGATTACAGTCTTCCTTCCCAGACTAGACTATAATTTCCAAGAGGGCAGGAGTTTTGGTTTCTTTTAACTACTCACAGATAGAGCCCCAGTCTCTGGAAGAGTAGACTCTGAATAAATATATGTTAAATGTTCAAATGGACTTCATCCATGCAATAATACTCTGCTTGCTCACCGCAGCTGCTAGTGAAGAATGAAAGAAGTGACTGACCCACATAGTAAAGCTGTGTTTCCATTATTTTCTCTTAATCTCTTTAACAGAAAAAGAAACAATTATCAAAGAGTGTGTGGCTTTTCATGAAACTTAAATAAATGTCTGAAGTCAAACAAAAACATCCCCCGAGGACAGAAGAAGGAGCTAAGCTCTACATTGCTCATGGTTACTTGTATTCAAGTACCGTTCTTATTTTGCTGTGGATGAATTCTTGCTCACGGGCAGAATGAATTGTGAGAAGTTCACTGTGCAGCCAGCCGCAGACAAACTCAAAGGCGGACCATTCTGAGGCATAGGTATGAAAAAGGTACTCTGCATCCTGATAGAAGAGCCAGGGTGCATCTGAAAGAAAAATACACAATGCAAATGATGCAAAAACTATTGACCAATGTAATGCAAACTTAGATAGGATATGCTGTGATGGACCTCAAATTCATAATTTGGTCACTCAACATTAAACATGTGTATTTGTATAAATAAGTATAGTTAAACACTTGCTCATTTTCCTTGGTCTGTGTCATGTAAGAAACCTTCATTTGTATTCAAAGGTCTGGGATAGATGCATATTTTAAAATCACTTGTCATGAAAACAGAGTTCAGCTACAACATTGGTCTTTAATCATATTCAATTAAATTTATTATTTGATTATTAATTATTAATTTGTTGGTTTGAACAAATTAGTTTTAGATTAATGTAAGAGACTTGATTGGAGGACTGTAATAATACAGTAATGGTGTATATATAGCACATAATTAGAAGTTCAAGAACTGGAAGGATAGTTCTTACCATATTGGTACCAGAGTGGAATCTTGGGTCTCACATCTGCAAAGTGAAAACAAACCACCCTAAGTAACCTTTCTTCACTGATGTGCTATCCCTGCATTGCTTCAGATCTAAACACAATATTTTTGTGCTTCACCTTTTAAGAAACCATTTAAAACCAGGCTCTTTGTGATATTTGGAACATGGTTAGTTCTCATACTTGAGGAGGAGGCTCAAGAACGGACTCTGATGAAAGAGGGAAGGATGTGAACACTTGTTGAGGGCCCACTGTGTGTCACACACTCTGTGAGGTGCTTTCACTTCCTCATTTGACAAGTAATTTTATTTGCTTGTAATGTCACCATGCCATTTCTTCGAGATTGTACTCACCAAAATACAATACAATACAGTCAGTTATCCTCATTTCCCGTTACCTACTTAGCCTACTGCATTAGTGTTGCCTTTATTCATCCCCCTAGGATATACATTCTTTGCTAAAATAGTGCAGTTGGTTCATCATGAAGGTGTTGATACTGTCATCCAAGGTGCTTGCATTTTAGACCCCTTTAACTATTTATTTGGGAAAATGCTGTATAGACTATTAGAAAACAAACATATAGTAAAGATCTTATTAATATTTTTACCTCTTGGAATTTTGCATATCCATTCACGTTTGGAACCACAGTGCAAGGGCAGCAATGTTTTATTTGCTTTATAAACAGCACAATTTCTTGTATCATCTCCAAAATAAGTATTGTCTAAAAATGAAGAGACAACCTGCAGCAGATGAAGTTCATTATTCCTTAATGATGATTCCTCCACAAAATGTTTCAAAAGATCATAAAAGGCGCTGTTGTAAATAAACCATGACTGACTTCAGGAGGAAGCTCCGGAAATGTATGGATGTGGTCCCAGTTAAAGGTTGTTCCCCATTTGTGAAGAACAAGCTAATCAAATTTTAGCATTTTTTCTGAAAGATGCTTTTTTCTCCTTAAAAAGAGGCATGGTACTCTTTTCTCCAGAAAGACAAAGCAGACACATGCTTCCTTCTGAACTTGCACTGCTTCCTCACTGGCAGGATTAGGCTAGTCCGGGGGTCCTGGGCACTTTCTTAGAGGCTCAAGGACCTGTCAGATTTGGTCTCATGTTTGATGTAGGTTTTTTTGTACAGACACTAAGCTTTTAGTTTCTAATCACTAAATTCTAAGTTACCACTAGCTTTATTCAGGAAACTATCAAACACTTTCCATGAATTATCACACAACAGAGGTATTAAATAAACATTGAACTTTTTCAATGATTTAATGACTACCTGATAGAAGAGTAGATGGACCACAAGTGAAATTACGGTAAAAATACGGAAAAAAGAGGATGTTTTGAAACCATCTATACTCCTCTTCAAACATGTACACTGTCATGCAACAATTCCTCTAACTTAAATATATGTAAACTATGATTCAGAGAACAGCATGAATTTGAATATTCATTTTATTTAGTGGACTTCTCCATGGCTCTGTCTCCATTTTTCTGAACCAAATTGTCTATTCCTCTCCTATTACTCATGAGTTTGTTTTACTAAAATGAAATGGAACATTCCAAACCACTATGTACACATCATTTTTAAGTGCCATATTGATGTAAACCACCCAGCTATGTCATGAGGGGGCAGGTCGACCCTGCTATACCCCTTCTGCTTTCTGGGCCTGTTTCTCATCAGCAAAATAGATGGGTGGGGGTGGGGGGTCTTCAAGATCTCTTCCCACTCTCTGGTCTTGATGCCCTTTTCAAAGAAGCATTATAGGAGTGGAAAACTTCGTTTTTTTAGCTAGCGTGCCCTGATTATTTTCTTCTCACTGTAAACATACAGCTTTTCCACACACCTCTCCCTTGACACAAATCTGAGAGTTATCTATGTTGCAGGCCTAGAGATCCCATTTCTCTATTGATCTTTACTCTTCCAACGTTTAGCAACTGATATGGGACACGTAGGAGACATTATAATGTTGTGGCTTTGGAGTCAGACCACCCGTGTACCAATCCTGGCTCTCCTGTGCATTATTTTAACAAACTAATGAATCACTTCAATCCTCACAGCATTGACTATGGTAAGGATGGGAAGAGACAATGCAGGCGTGCCCTCGGCTCAGAACTGAACAGATTTATAGTTCAATAAACGGGCTGCACCAAATGCTCACTTCAGGCTGTTGCCAGCCGCCCCATTTCACAGGTGCAGCTGAGTAACTTGATTTTCTGCCTGTGTCCTCGGATGGACCCCATTTCAATCTGGGATACTGCTTCTGTTTTTTTTACCCCCCTATCCTCCATAGGAAATATATGAGAATTCCTCATTGCACCTGAAAAAATATGTGGTAGTGAGTGCCCTCTTTCCTTCACAGAGGTTTTTATAAGTGTGAGGCTTAGTGAAAAGCAAGTCTTTTTTTTTCCTTCCAAGTACCTTGCTTTGGCTGAGAAGGAGGTAATATTTTTAAGACTGGGATTTGTGTCCTTTTAGAGTGAGATAAATAGAAAACGGTTCTTTTCTATATGACATGGATGAGGGTCCTACAATCATATAATAAAGTGCTAGGCAGGTAGGGATGGTAGATTAAAGGAAGCCTGGTATTATTTTAAATAACAGTTGCTTCTTCGGTGGGGACTCTTCACATGGTAGATGGTTTGAGGACCCTTCTGGAGATTTTGATTCCTTTTCCGGATAAAAGCCTACAGAGGGCCTCAGAGCTATTTGGTTAGCCAAGGTTTCTCAGGATGTTGCTGAAATAGCTCTTCTGGTACCAAGGTCTGGTGTTGTTTCTGATTTGTATCTGAGTCATGGGAAATATGGTTATTATTTCCAGGTTCTTTTGGTTGGTTTACCAAGTGGTTCCAGGGCCACCTGTTTTGAATTCATTTCCTTTTCTCTGGTTTGGAAAACTTACAGGGGTTCCATCAGACCACTCCCAAGAGCCAGCGTTCAGTGGGTTTCTCTTATTAAATCCAATCCAGAACTGCCTTTCTTCTGTCCTGTGAAGAGAAGAAACAAAAACACTTGGCCTTTTCCATGGACTCCACAACATTATGAAAAATGTTCAAGGAAGTATCTGTGTGTGCAGGAAACAGCTGAGGTGTGTGGCCAGCCACAGACAGACACGTATCTAACATTTTGTGTGTGCAAAACCTGAGATCTGAAACGAACTGTGAGAAGATTTAGCCTCGCTTCCTTTTCCTGTCAGTTTGTATGGTGTGCGCAATGGTGACAGGCAGTTGGGGGACAAATCAGCCCTTGTTGAGAACACAGCTTTCTCATGTTCACTAGGAATGGTAACACTTTTCAATCAGGACAAGTGAAAGCAAGTCGGTAAGAGATTTTGGACTTCTCCTTCCTAGAGGACTTTTTATTACTTTATTATTTATACTACTTTACAAAGCTTTCTTCTTTTTTATTTTTTGTCACATGTGCATGTATTCTTTGAAGGTTAATCACGACCACCCCTGTTTAATAAAAGGTACATGGCAGGTTTTGTTGGTTTGTTTTTCAGATCCCAACATAAATGTTCCGATGCAAATCAGTCTGAGGTGCAGTGGGTTACCTTGAGCGGTTGGCACTGGGTCAGGCTTGGCGCGGAGCCCTGCAGACTCATAGGGCTAATGTGTCACACCACAGGTGACTCAATAAATCAAGCAATAAAGTTGAAGTGTACAAGAGCCATCTCACTAGATCATTTTTTGAATCTGTTGGTAGTCTTTTAAAACGTGTTTTTTTTAAAAAAAGTTTCATTCTTTATGCTGTTACAGTTGTCCAAAAATTTCCCCCTTTGTTCCCTTATTAAGATCATTTTCTGAGAGTAATTTTGAAGAATAAAATATTTATAAGCCCTGGTCAGGTAGTTCAGTTGGTTAGATCATCATCCCCTGTGCCAAGATTGTGGGTTGGGTTCCCCGTCAGGGCACATACAAAAGTCAACCAATGAATGCATAAATAAGTGGAAAGACAAAATCAGTGTTCCTCTCCCTGTCTCTCTCTCTCAAATAAATGATTTTAAAAAATCTATAAGATTCAGAAGTCATGACAGATGCTTTATTTTCCTTATTCAGAGAAGCAAGCTTATTCTTCGGCAGATACCTGAGCTCCTCTGCCTGAACGATACAAATGAACGTAAAGTGTGACTTAGAAAATCCGAGAGATCACTGGGGCTCAGGTGGCCACTGCCATGATTACATGTGACCTTTCAGGTTGTGGAGGGTGAGACTGCTGCCTCAGGGTTCAGCCGGTCATATTAACCTCAACGCCCTAGGCTGGAAATCCGCACTACTCGCCCTATGCTGAGGACGGTTTATGCCTTTCCTCACGGAATTCAGTTCTACAGCCTTCCTGCTATGTACCGGCTCCTAGAAAAACTGGTATTTATTTTCCTTCCATCAATTTCCTAAACTTGTATAATTTCTAATGATGTAATATAATAATATAACTAATAAAATAGAAATAGAAAAGCAGTGCCATAGGAAAGAGAAGTATATATGCTAACTGTGAGAACTGGTTTATTTGCTACAACTAAGCATCAGGTTTGGCTGAACTCCCTGGTAGTCAGGGCAAAGGTAAAACATGCATCATATAGCTTTTGTGATTAGGCGCTGAAAATCAATAACTTGACAGATGCTTGGCACTAAGTTCATCTAGAAATTCCAAGTGCGAGAACTTATATAAATAGAAGTGATATTTGATCTTACAGTAAATGTGGAAGCAGTTTGCATTTGGTTGTTTCATACAGCAAAGCTCACTATATACACTTATGCAAGTGTTTTTAGCAAGTGGCTAAAGTCATGAAGCTAAAGTCATGAGGACAATAAAGACTATTGTATATCCTTTGGACTGTGGCCCCACCCTTGGCTAACAATTCAATTAACCAGGAAGTTTCTTGACCTTTTCCTCAGTCTCAGAGAATCTGATTCAGCAGCTCTTGGGCAAGACAGAGGGTTCAGTGTTGAAAGGTGTCCCAAGAGAGTGTGATAATCAGCAGGTTTGGGAATCCTGGTCTCTGGTCAGCGTTTACTGCAGAAACTAGAGTTCTATGAAATGTTACTAAGTGTTCTCAAAAAAGTTTTGTGGTCAGAGGAAGTGCTTCCGTCTAAGAGCCTTTACGATACTAATGTGTGTGGCAAATTTCCAAGGTTGTATTGGTGCACACTGCTTTGCAAACATATTTGACCACGAGGTCTGCCTTCTTCCCTCACAGAGTACTCCATGAGACACACACTGGGAGATGGTGTCAGACTCCCACCATTAAGGTCATTTTTGTAGATTTTTGAGATGACTAATTTGATAGATGTTACATATTAACCTTCTTTTCTTTATTAAAACTTTTTAAAAAATGTATTTTCTTTTTTTAAAATTTTTAAATCATGTTTATTCTATTACAGTTGTCTCAATTTTTCTCTCTTTGTTTCCCTCCACCCAATCCACCCCCACCCCCTGCTCCCACAGTCAATTCCCACTCTGTTGTCCATGTCTATGGGTCATTCATACATATTAACCTTCCTATGGGAAGGTTAAGATTTTCCTCAAAAAATAGTTCTGGATTTTCTCTGAGACTCAGGCAAGTATTTCACTAAAACTCTAGACTTCCTTCCAGAGCTAGGGGACGAGTAGCTGGTGTTACATTTGTTTTTGTTAAATAAATGTAAATAAATGTAAATAAATAATGGAGGCATGGCTCCATTAGACCACAGCATCCTCAGGAGCACCATTTTGTCTGTCATGCCTATTGAATTCTCTAGCCTGCTATGCACATAACAGTGCCCCTCTCATAGAAGATACGTCCAAAATGTATGCTGACTGACAAGAACATTCTAGAGAAAGAAGAGGCCAAGGCCTGGGGAGACTTACTATGAGTATACGGTGGCTGTCTGCAAATATCTGAGAATAGATTAGACTTTATCTGTATTGCCCTGGCTTACTATAAAGTTAATCTTTGAAACCAGCTTTTAACAATGCAATGGGCTTTCTCCCAAGGAAGGAGCCCTCTGAACGTTGAAGGGATCGTGCTGACAGCGGATGACCACAGGAATGCAGTGGAGGGGATTTCTGGCATGTGGGTGGAGGGTAGCTCAAGATCTTTTTTTTTTTTCAATTTAAATTTATTGACTTTCTAACTTTATGGAATTCAAGATTCTGTAAATTTGCAAGATGGACATAGATAAGTGAACACGTTTCCTTGAACGTAAAATAGGGGGTTGGATTGGATTTTTTTAATGAGTGGGACTTTCATTTTTTCAAACAAAAATCTTACCTGGACTTTGATTATATACGAAATAATAGAAGTGGAGCTGGTTGGAGCTGCTTAGTGAGCGAGGAACCAGGAGCTCTGCAGAGGTGGCTCCTTACTGAGGTTCCAGGACCCTCAGTTCCTCAGTCAACAGTTAGAAAACCACTGGGCTAGCTAATTTCTGAGTTTGGCAGGAAAATCTCTAAAATTCTGATTTTAGTCCACAGAAAAGATTTCAAACATCAGAACAATGCCACATTGTTCTTTGTTTTAAGGACTGAGAACTTGATGCAATATAGATATAAATTTATATGTATATATTTTCTTTCATAACTAGCAGCTAGCAGGTTTTAGGCTTAAAACAAATACTTGAGATTTTAAACAAACATTAGGGATACTTATCCCTAAGTAGCCATTATTAGGAGACAGAATATTTGACTGTAATTTTTCAAAGTTAACAAGTATTTACCAATTAAATTTTGAATCTAGAAGCTTATTCACAAAATTCTCTTCCTCAATATGGGCAAAGCTGGCAAGATGAGCTCCAAATTCTTCACAAAATGCTTCAGCTTCTCTCCATGTTCTTTTCATCAATACTTTTTCACTATGAAATACCTATATAGTAAAAAAAAAGAAGAAAAGAAAAAAAAGAAGAAGTTGACACTGTCACAGATAAGGTGAGGCTATTTGATTCTGGACAAGAAAATAATATTAATATAATTGTTGTCATTATTCTTTATTAAAAGCTTGACCCATTAGGGAGAAATAACACTTATTGAACTAGAATATACCTATCATAAAACTGTTATCTCATTTTATCCTCACAACAAATTTATGAGAACATGATAAGCTGTTTCATCAATGAGCTCCTTAAGGATTCTTTTTTTTCCCTCCTCCTAAATTTCCTGTGACTTGTCCCTAAAGAAATATTTTTCAAGAGATGAGGAGAGTCATTCTAAGACAGGTTATAGATTCCAGGCTACACAGCTGCAAATGGGCAGAGCTAGAAATAGACCCAATACTCCTTGCTTCCAGAGTCCATGAATTTCCATCCCACCAAATTGCCTGCTGACAAGTTAGAATTGGCTGAATGATCATGCGTCTGGCTGATCCATGCCAAGAAATAAAAAATGAGATCTGGGACCTTGGAGAGGTATATTTCTAGGATCTTTGGGTCTTAGCTGTGCCTAAATTCTCTGCTGTTTCTCAGCCGTCCTCATTGTAGCAGGAAGAAGTCAGAGAAACAGAGGGTCTGCTTTTGGTTTTATTTAGGATCAAGGATGAGGGACTGAAGACCCAGAGCTCTAGATCCTGCCTCTGCAACCCCCTCATTTTTAACTTTCCAACACTAAGCCGAAGCCTCTGGTGCCAGCCTTCACCAGGCTCTGATTTGCTGCAACCAGAATGAATAGGTTTCCCAGTCCTGTGGACAGTAGTAGCACAGCCTTTCCATCTTTAAATTATATGTCAGAACTTGCCTCCTTTGGGCACCTTTTCTTACATCACTTTAAATTAACCAATCCTACCACCATGTCCATCAAACACACCATACATTTGTTGAAATATTAGGGGATATATAATAAAAAAAGCTCTGGACTAGGAGTTTCAAGATCAGGGATTTATTTCAACTCTGTCAATAAATAGTTGTGATCTTAGGTAAATCACTTCATCTCGTTAGCCTCAGCTTACTCATTTCTAAGGGTTAACTTCTTGCTCTATAAGGTCACTCTAGGTGTATTATTCTATGAATTGAATGTAGGATTATACACATGTACATTTAAATTGAGTGCATTCATAGATGTTTCATGCCATCTATACATATGCAGCATCTCTAGAGATAGAGGCTTTCTCCATTCCGTTTTGCATGTGCCCATATATCAAAGATCTTTCTCCTATGACTGTGGAAATCTCTATTTATAAAATGAACCAAAGATAAAACCATCAAACAAAAACATCATATTTCAAAAATACATATTTCTGACAGGAAGATTGTAGGTACTGGTTTAAATCTAAGATCTAAAGCTGTTTTGTAAAAAGATATTTCTTCACACATTTATTTACACACACACACACACACACACACACACACACATCAATCATATGTATTAATTTGTTTGATCGTCCAATGTCCGGCAAGCTGCAAATGCTATCCTTAGCAGCAGAATCATAGTATAGTATAGTATTCCATAATGAGGACTTTATTCGCTTGCTTACACATGATACGGAATTGCACCATTTTCATACCCGGAACAATATTGCCTAGGACCCCGATATTAATCCTCAAGAGGAGGACTTCAGTGTCACTAGAGATATCTTTCTTTGGCTTAAAAAATATTTTGGAATACAAGTGAAATGATAGAGACAATGAACACATGTTCATTATGCATCTCTGTGTGCCAGGCGCTGTTCTGGAATAAAAGAATTTGGGATATATGAACAAAATGGAAATAATGTTGCTCCAATTGAGAATGCCCATGTAAGCTTGACATCACCTTGAAGCAGCTGGCCAGGCCTGGCTCTGATTCCCAGTCCAAATAGCAAGGCTGAAAGGGCCATCTCTCTTCATGCTCAGTTTTCTCCCGTTTTTCCACTGGTTGCTTGCATAAGGACATTGCTTTAAAGTGTGTACAGTCCTTCACTTCCCAACGGCCAGCAGGATTCCTTCCTCGCATGACAACACAGCCACCGCTGTAGCCTAAAAGCAGAAAACAACACTTCCAACACCAGCCAACTAGAACATTTTGCGCTCAGAAGACTTCTTCAGAGTGTTGAATAATTGACATCTCATAATGAAGCACCCAGACAAGAACAGTGAAGGTGAAAAAGGATGATTTCTTGGCATGATTTTTTCATTTCACATCCTCTCTGGATAAAGACTAGAAGATGAAAAACTGAGAGAAGAGACACTGTGAAGATTGAAATTTGGGCATTTTAAGCTCAGATGGCAAATAATGGAAAACTAGGGGATATTCCATCTTAAACTGAATTATCCCCACCCCTCTTCAAACACCAACATCTTTGAATTATTGAGCTTTTTAACGGTGCAGAAAGAAGTTTAACTTGCCATTTCTTGAGTATGAATGCATGCTGTGCTTTGAGGCCACAGTCTGAAAAATCAACAACGAAAAATGCATAGTGCATATCCTCTGAGAAGTAGATTCAGTAGGAAAAAATATGTAAGTGATGGATTTAAGTTATTTGGAAGGTACACAACAGGAAACTAAACTGTAAACTGCAGCAGAGTGGAGAGAATGAGATACATTCTAAAACAGGGTGAAAGTCTAGGGGTAGGAGTAGGGGCAGACTTCAGCAAAAATGGGAAGACCTTCTAGTTATGGACAAAACTCCATTTTATTCTTTTCTGTATGTTTGAACATACTGGAAAATGAAACATTTTTTCCCGTGGAAACAATTTCTAAGTTAAGATCCTCAAGTTTGTCATCAAATTGACACAACTTATAATAGAGCTAAAAATAGACTTCAAACTTAAGTACATAGTAGAAAATAATCCTGTCCTGAAAATATAATAAAAACTGAGAAAGAATGAGTTTTTTTCTTGAATGTAGAGTGATCATCTAATTACTTAAATCAACATTCAACAACAACAAAAATGGTGCATCTACATCTACATACGAGGCTAGGCTGCATATTAGCTGCCGGAGACAGAAGGACAACACTAAACCAAACCAAACAAACAAAACCCAACTCTTAGTTTAATGTGAGGCACAGAGACATAAACACTTAATTGCAATCAACAGAATGTGTAAAGTGCAATAGGAGCCGTGCGTGCTCTGATTTCTGTGGGAGACTTTAGAAAGATTATGGAGGCTGCCTCGGGATATCAGTAAAGGATTTGTAGGAAGTAACGTCTGAGCTGAGCTTTGAAGGATGAGAAAGAGAGAAGTTTTCAAGGAGTGCTTATAAAAAAGCAAGTGATTATAGATGAAGCATCTGAACACTTGTGATGATTCTGGACCTAAAGGCATTTTAAAAAATGTAGTCACTCCCTACTAGATAGTTGTCTTGCTTTATTTCCCTTCAGAAGTAATGGTTTCAATTTTTTTTTTTTTTAACTACAGAGCAACTGGCATTATCCTTGTCAGCCATTACTTGGTTGTTTTGTGCTGACAGAAAAGACTAAAGAAAGGGAAAATGAAGAGTGAGAGAAGAAAAAAGACCGATAAGATATACAAAGAACCTCTCCTAAAGGAATGGGAGAGTGTAAAATAGAGAAAGAATAAGGGAGCTGCGTCAACAATCCTGGGTCCACACTGGGTATCACAGTGACAAGAGAGTCCCCATTTGCAAGAAGCTCCCAGTCCGGTGTTTGTGTGCACACTGATGCATCAAAGAGACCAACAAAGGTGAAAATGACTCATCATAAACAAGGAAACATACTTAGTATGACTCTGATAGAAGAAAAAGAAGTTGAGAGCTGGCCATACAGAGGCCATTAGTCAGTTCCACTGAACAGAACAGCTAGATAGTGTTAACGATGGAGGGTAGGGGCCAGACACGGGGGAGAGATTATAGTGCGCAAGCACCGCCTCCCGGGAATGGAGCTTTGCAGTCCTGTTGAATGCAATGCCCAAAATGTAGCTCACAGTCTAGTAGGGTCATGAACAGTGGAGATGTTGCATGCTCTGTGTGATGAAATTCTAATGAAATTGAATTATATGGAAATCCACACAGAAGCTCAAAGTAATATACAAATAGCGTTGCTCTAGTGACAGAGGAAGGAAACCACATACTCCCACCTGATTTCTCCACCCTTCCTTTCCCAGCAGCATTTGACTTGGAGCTGGAAGTCTGGGGTTCTAGTTCCAGCACAAATAATAAGTAACTTGAAACTCAAACAAGTTGTATTAGTCACCAAAAAAAGCTTATCTAAAAGACGGAGATAACAATCTCTATTCTTCCCACGGATTTGGATGAAATCAAATAAAATAATGTATTAAAACGCACCCTGAAAGATATAAAGGGCTATAACCACCCTTAAGATGTTGCTTCTATTCTTATTTTGGCTGTTTTCATTACAAAACCTGGGATTTTGTGACACGAGTTCTGCCTGCAGGTTCAAAGAATTTTTATAAAGCTTGAATCAGCAACTTTAAAATGTAATATTCTTTTTTGTTGGTCTTGCATTTTGTCTTATGTTCCCACATCAGACAATGATTAAATAGCTTTGGTTTTGGATACTAAAGATATTCAACTCATCTTCATTAGTGCAGAAGGAGATGTTTGTGAACTGATATGAGGACAGGAAGTGATGCAGGAGTGTTATTTCTCTCCTAAAGTGGTTTACTTAATGGAACATTTGACCCAAATTTTAGAATCTCAGCCCCAAAGAAGCAGTAAAGTGGTGTAATAAAGGGAGACTGGGCTAAGGGAGATATAAATGAAATTTATAATCATACATTATGGGGATGCTTGCAAAGCCAAATAATGCAGGTAGGGTGTGAGAAAGAGCAGAGGTGGTTTTTCTCCCAGAGAAATTGTTCTCAAATTCAATAACTCATTTCCCACTGGAGAAGAAAAACTCTCACCCTATCCCACAGTGATGAATCTCACATCTCAACTAATTTTCTTTACCTGTCCTACCCTCCCTCTACCTTCCCCTACCCCCGCTGATGCTCTCGGTCAAACATGAAAGAGAAAACTTTCAGTCGCTTAAGAAATTCCAATTCACTCTTCCAGTCTCTTCCATTTGGCAAAGCTATCTAACCATACATGATGAACTGAACTGGGAAAGCCTCTACCTTCTACCTCTCTGGCCAAATACCTGAAAACAAACAAGACCCACTTATGGCCTCATGGTCAGGGTGGAACTATAACTGGGCCTTCCCCATGGAGAAAAATGAAGCTACTGGGGTAGGAAGGCGAGCTGTCCTGGAGTTCTATCTGCCTGATACTGTGCCAGGCATTTTTTATGGTCTGTTTCCTGTTGAACTTCAAAAACTACTTAAGGTAGATATTAGTATTTACAGTTTACAAATGACAAAATGGAGGCATAGAGCCTTAGTAACTTGCCTAAGTCCCTATACTTAGTGAGGATTTGATCTAGAATTTGGAAACAGATTTATTTCACTGTACTATGAGACAACATTAAAGTACAGAGTAGGCAGGCATTCAGTCAATAGTTGTTGAATGAATGACTGAAGAATCTTCCCCTCAGATAGTTTGCTTCCATTTCAATGGAGCTCCCTCTCATGTCCCTGGTCATGTTCTCTTGTTTGTGTGGTTACAGCATTTCTATGAAGATCTATGATCACATCCTTATCTTGTATGATAATTACCCATATGATCATATAAAGCACCCAAGGGTGCTTTGAGTTTGCCCTCATTTATGTGGTGGTCATTTCAGAACTCTGATGAGCCTGAAAGTGGATTCACCTGTCTATCCACTGGCTGGCCAGGCTTCTTAATACTCCTTGCTTAGAGCAGGGCACTTTCAAGAAAACAGATCTGACTTGCTTCACTTGATCCCATTTTCCTTGTCATCGGTAGATTTCCATTGACTTGGGGCAACTGGGGAAAATGTGCACTGGAGTTATCCCATGTGAGTGAAGTATGCCTTTTTTGCAGTGACATCTAGATCAAGAAACATAAAACTTTTGTCACAAAGCCTGAGTTTTGGATGGATGCAAAATAGTGATGTCAAAGTGTTTCTTTTTCACTGCACAGACACCTAGGAAACTCTAAAAAGCTATTTTGAATGTCCTAACTAGTATGGAATCGTATGGTTTTTTGTTTTCTGTTTTTGTTTTTTTTTTCACCATTAAGCAGCCTCCCTTTATATTATGTCTTTAAACTAAGTACAAAGTACATTTTAGTTTCCAGGCATTACCTTCCCCCTAAATGAGAAAGTCCCTTTTGTCATTTCGCCTTTAATCAGTGGCACTAGTTAGTAAGGATCAAAATTGTTTTTCCTGTTTTACCTGACTAGATAATTCTCTCAAAATACCAAGTACCACAGAGTCCCTTTGTTGTTGTTTTTTGTTTTAATAAACACCAGAATTTCCTACTGTTTTGAGAGCAGGAAATTTGGGCATGAAAGAAAAGAAATGCAGACATAAAACAGGTTAAGCAAAAACCTTGTACTTCTGAATTCAAACAGAAAATAACAGTTTGAACTCCAGAAGTATTTCATCTTAGACACACACACACACACACACACACACACACTTTCTAGCTTAGATCAGTGAACTGGACGAGAAACAATAGAAACCAACAAGCGATGAACACTCGTATGAGTGGATTGTGATACTGAAATAATACCACTTCCCATTAAGATGAACCAGGGTTCCTTGATGAATTGGATGTTTCTAGGTTCAGAGCGGAAATGTACATCTTGTCATACCAAATAGCAAGGGAGCTATCAAAGGCTTCTAGTGTTATAGTAAAAGGACTCAGGAGGTAGTGCTTGAGACTTTCATTTTCATTAAAAAAGATGATAATTGCAATGGATTAAAACATATCAAATATGTTTTAAATCCTTCATAACAGTGCTAAAAAAACTGGTTACTGTTGCAAGATGCTTATAAACAAATAATCATTTAAAAAACTAGTAAAGGGAAAGAATGGAGCATTTATTCTGTTTTCCCTATAAAAACTGTATCACAAAATAACACCTTTATAAATATATACTCCTTCCCGACCTATGAAGGAGAAAGCCCTTCATGGATCAATGGATCT